ATGACTCAGCCATCCCACTCAGCATCTATACCTGTGGCAGGTGCATCTATACTTGCAGCGGGTAAATCTATATCCACAGCACGTACCATACCACTCTGTCCATATCCCTGAGCACTCACAGTCTCTGTGGGCAGGGAAGTCAGAAGTGCCAGAGAGTTAACACCTGTCCACCTCCCTTCTCTGGAGCAGCCGTTAGACAGGGACAGACAGGAGCTGGTGGATAAATACTTCAATTCCTCAACCCTGTAATCCCAGCTACTCAGGAGGCTGAGGCAGGAGAATGGCTTGAACCCGGGAGATGGAGGTTGCAGTGAGCTAACACCACCGCACTCCATCCTGGGCAACAGAGCAAGACTCTGTCTCAAAAAATAAAATAAAAAAGATGCTAGTCCAGGCGCGGTGGCTCACACCTGTAATCCCAGCACTTTGGGAGGCCAAGGCAGGCGGATCACCTGAGGTCAGGAGTTTGAGACCAGCCTGGCCAACATGGTAAAACCCTGTCTCTACTAAAAATACAAAAATTAGCCGGGTGTGGTGGCATGTGCCTGTAATCCCAGCTACTCAGGAGGCTGGGAGACCCGCTTGAACCCAGTGGAGGTTGCAGTGAGCTGAGATCGCACCACTGCACTCCAGCCTGGGAGACAGACTCCATCTCTCAAAAAAAAAAAAAAAAAAAAGCTTATTTCAGCATGTGGTTGCAAACATCCCCAGGGCACAGATCCCAAGAAGCCTCTCAGAAGACAGGAAGTAGGCCAGGCGGGGTGCCTCATGCCGGTAATCCCAGCACTTTGGGAGGCCAACACGGTAGGATCTCTTGAGCCCAGGAGTTTGAGACCAGCCTGGGCAACATAGCAAGACCCTGTCTCTCCAAAAAAATAAAATAAATAAATAATTCAGCAGATGTGGTGGTGCATGCCTGTGGACCCAGCTACTTGGGAGGGAGGGTGAAGCCGGAGGATCACCTGAGCCCAGGAGTTCAAGGCTGCACTGATCTAGGATCATGCCACTGCATGCCAGCCTGGTCAATAGAGGGAGAAAAAAAAGAATGGAGGAGGAGGAGAACAGGAAGAGGAGGAGAAGGAGAAGGAGGGGAAAAGGGGAGGAGGAGGAGGAGGGGCAAAGAGAAAGGAAAGGAAAGAAAAAAGAAAGAGAGAGAGAGAGAAGGAGGAAGGAAGGAAGGAAGGAAGGGAGGGAGGGAGGGAAGGAGGGAGGAAGGGAGGGAAGGAAGGAGAGAGGAAGGGGAGGGGAAGGATTGGTGTGGTGGCTCGCACCTGTAATCACAACACTTTGGGAGCCTGAGGAAAGAGTTCAATACCAGCCTGGCCAGCATGGCAAAACCCCGTCTCTACTAAAAATACAAAAATTAACCAGGCACAGTGGTGGGCGCCTGTAATCCCAGCCACTCTGGAGGCTGAGGCAGGAAAACTGCTTGAACCCAGGAGGTGGAGGTTGCAGTGAGTCCAGATCGTGCCATTGCACTCCAGCCATCTCAGAAAAATAAAAGAAAGAAAGAAAAAGAAGGCCGGACGCGGTGGCTCACATCTGTAATCCCAGCACTCCGGGAGGCTGAAACGGGCAGATCACCTGAGGTCAGGAGTTCGAGACCAGCCTGACCAACGTGGAGTAATCCCCGTCTCTACCAAAAATACAAAATTAGCCGAGTGGTGGTGCATGCCTATAATCCCAGTTACTTGGGAGGCTAAGGCTGGGAATCGCTAGAACCCGGGAGGCGGAGGTTGCAGTGAGCCGAGATCATGTCACTGCACTCCAGCCTGGGCAACAAGAGCGAAAACTCCATCAAGAAAGAAAGAAGAAAAGAAAGAGAGAGAGAGAGAGGGAGAGAGAGAGAGAGAAAGAAAGAAAGAAAG